TTTATTTGTTAACATTTGAGACATATGTGATTTTGAGAATTATGAAATGAGTTATATTATGTTTTTAAAATGAGAAAAATTGTTTGAAAATTGCGTCGTTATACCAAAGGTGGGGACTGCGAACGAAGAACCGAATGAGGAGGTGAATGTCAAAGTAGAGGGTTCGATTGCAGAATTGCTTGCGGAGTTTCGTGATGTTTTTCCAATCGACTTACCACCGGTTTTACCACCAATATGTGGTATTGAACATCAGACTCATCTTGTTCCAGGTGCTCCCTTGCCAAATAAAGTGGCCTGTCGTTGCAATCCGGAGCAAACGAAGGAGTTACAAAAGCAAATCGATGAGTTGATAAACAAAAGCTATGTTCGTGAGAGCCTTAGTCCTTGTGTCATTCCGGTCTTGCTCGTACCTAAGAAGGATGGAACTTGGCGTATGTGTGTGGATAGCCGAGCGGTGAATAATATAACACGCAAGTATAGGTTTCCCATTCCTAGACTTGACGACGTGTCGGACAAATTGCAAGGGTCAGTGGTGTTTTTGAAGATTGATTTGTGAAGTGGGTATCATCAGATTCGCATGAAAGAAGGTGATGAGTGGAAAACGGCCTTCCAGGCCAAACATGGGTTGTACAAATGGACTGTGATGCCATTTGGTATTACTAACGCGCCTAGTACTTTCATAAGGCTGATGAATGAAGTATTGAAGTCTTTTCTTGGGAGGTTTATGGTTGTATATCTTGATGATATCTTGATATATAGCAAGAGTATGGAAGATCATATTGTGTATTTACGAAAGGTATTCGAGACTCTTAGAACATAAAAGCTTTATGGGAAGAAGGAAAAATGTTCATTCTTGGTGGAGAAAGTGATTTTCTTGCATTATGTTGTTTCCAAAAATGGTGTTTCGGTGGATCAATCCAAGATATAAGCAATTAAGTCGTGGCTTACTCTTACTACCGTTTCAAAAGTCTGATTGTTTCATGGGCTTGCTTCTTTTTATAGGAAGTTCATTCACGATTTTAGCACCATTATGAGTCCAATCACGAGCTGTTTGAAGAAAGGAGCTTTTGCATGGGGGTTGGAAGCTCAGAAGTCATTTGCAAAAGTAAATGAGTTATTGTGTGTTGCTCCGGTCTCAACGCTTCCTGACTTTTCACAACCCTTCGATGTGGAGTGCGATACAAGTGACATTTGAATAGGAGCTTTTCTCATTCAAGGAAAGCGTCCTATCACTTATTTTTTAGAAAAAATTGGGGGTGCTCGATTAAATTATTATACGTATAACAAGGAGTTTTATGCAATTGTTCGAGCATTGGATCATTAGAGCCATTACTTACATGAAAATCATTTTACTTTGCACTCGGGTCATGAGTCGTTGAAGTTTATTAATGGCCAGTAGAGGTTGAGTACACGAGATGCCAAATGGGTAGAATTTTTGCAATCTTTCACTTTTCATCCAAGTATAAAGATGGAAAAAGCAACGTGGTAGCTGATACATTGTTGAGGCGATATTATTTGTTAGTAACTTTGGATGCGAGATTGTTGGTGTTCGAGGCCTTGAAAAGTTATTATATGAATGACATAGATTTTGGAGATTTGTTTATAACATGTGCAGATGGACCTGAAGGTGAATACATGTTGCAAGAAGGTTTTCTCTTCAAAGGAAATCGAATTTGCGTTCTGAAGCATGTGATTCGTGAGCTGTCGGTGCGAGAAGCTCATGGTGGAGGGATGGTTGGACACTTCGAAATTACTAAGGCTTTGGAGATCTTAAAGGAGCATTTTTATTGGCCGGAGATGTTAGGAGACGTGACCAACATTGTAAAAAAGTGTGTGACTTGTCAAATGGCCAAAAGTACATTCAAGTCGGGATTGTACACTCCTTTGCCAATTCCTAATCATCCTTGGGAAGTAGGGATATCAAAGAGTCCCATGTGACCCCGTTCCCGTGGGGGCCCCACCCCGTTTAGGGGGAATTTTAAAAAAATATATCAAGGGCGGGGACGGGGGTGGGAGCAAAGTTAACCCCCGTTTTAATTTCGGGGGCGGGGCGGGGGTAGGCAATCCCGTCCCGAAAGCCCCATGGGGACCCCGTTAATAAATTGCACATATATTTACATATATTAATTATATAAATATAATAAACAATAACATGATTTCGAGCTTCCAAAATTCATCAAAAAACATGTTTTTAAGTTGTTAATATAATGTTTTTAAGATGTCATAACTTTTTTATTTTTAACATGTAAAATTATGCTATAAATAATTATTTGTTACCTAAAAAATAGCTTCTTTTAGCCTAAATAACAACTTCTTTTACCCAAAGAAAAGGCAGCCCAATATCAATCGGGGGCGGGGAAACGGGGGCGGGGGCGGGGGATGCACTCCCCGTCCCGTTTTCCCCCGTTGACATCCCTATTGGGAAGATGTATCAATTGATTTCATTGTTGCTTTACCTCGGACTCACGGGGGTAAGGATGCGATTATGGTAGTAGTAGATCGTTTTGCCAAGATGGCTCATTTTGTTGCTTGCAACAAAACTGATGATGCTAGTAACGTGGCTGATTTATACTTTAAGGAGATTGTTCATTTGCATGGCATTCCAAAAACAATTGTTTCAGATCGAGATTCGAAGTTTTTGAGTTATTTTTGGAATACGCTATGGAGGAAGGTGGGTACGAAACTGTTGTTCAGTACTTCGCATCACCTATGTACGGACGGCCAGACGAAGGTTACAAATAGAACCTTGGGAACGTTGTTGTGAGGGTTGGTAAGTAAGACTAAAAAAGATTGGGACGTGAAGCTTGTGCATGCTGAGTTTGCTTGTAATCGATCTCCTACATTCTCAATTGGGCATTCTCCATTCGAGGTTTTCTACGGTGTTAATCCACATCTTCCTTTAGATCTAATTCTGTTACCAAAAGAGGAGTTAGTTCATACATATTCTAAAGCAAAGTTAAAGTCGATGATGAAGTTGCATGAGCAGATTCATACACGCATTGAGACTGCAAACGCAACTTACAAGGATAAGTCAAATAAGAATAAGAAGCCTAGAATTTTTGTTGATGGAGACTTAGTTTGGGTACACTTGAGGAGGAAACGTTTTCCAAGTAAAAGAAAGAATAATTTGATGCCGAGAGTTGGAGGTTCTTACAAGGTGGTGGGACGAGTTAATGATAATGCCTACAAAGTTGAGCTTCCAGGTGACTATGGAGTTCATGCCATATTTAACATTGGAGACCTTTCGCTTTATCTTGATGATGATGAACTAGCTGAATTGAGGACAATTCCATTGAAAGGGGGAGGGAATGATGGAAATGTGAATCGCAAACTTTCGCAGTCAAAGTCAGTTGTTGGATGTGAATGTGTGTGATTGGATGCGAACGATCGCCACCCATCGTAAGTGTTGAAGAGTGGATGAAAATGCGATGGCGAAACCCAGGAGATTCGTTGCGACTGCGAAACCCGGAGGACTCGATGCAAATACAAGGCTTAGGAAGGTGACTGGGAATGGTTGGTTTTGGTTGTTGGATGCGAAAGTGCGGATGGTAAAGACTCATGTGTACATGGAGTTTGCATGGTCTCATACATCGGTTAGCTAGAAGGTTCTAGAAGGTAGGTTTGGCATGAATAAGCCTTTACAAGGCAGTTTCCTTTTATTTTGAAGTTTCCTTTATTATCTAGCTGCCTTATTTTATTATCGTTTGTACGGCTATAAAGCCCCTTAGTTGACCCTTTTTCATTCATGTTCTTGATGGCTGGTTATCGAAAAATAAAGAACCCTGTTCTTTTGAGTTGCTTACTCGTTCTTGTCAATTCTAGATCGTGTTTTCTAGGTTGATTCGAATTCAAATCAATAGGTCTTGATTTGTCATCATCGATTCTCAATCTATTGGTCTAGATTGTTTATCAAACTATATTTTCTTGATTTCTTGTTGTGCAAGTTACTTGTTTAATTCTCGTGTTCTTGGTTTTAATATTGAATATTCCGTTGCATTCTAAGTTATTGAAATCAATCCCTCTATACACGCATCAGTTTTAGATGAGGAAGTCACCGGCTGACCCTTTCAGTTCTTACAGAAGGACCTATTCGACCCGACAAAACCAACTTTGTTCCCTTAAAAGACATGAAAATAACTTAAGGGACTGAATGGACAAATGTGCAAATGTGCAAAACATCAATGGGCTATTGTGTCATTTTCCTTTAAAGAAACACTACAATGTTATCAAAAAGATGTTCCTTGCGATACTTGGCTTGACAGAAAGAACCCAAATAACCATTATAAACGCCAAATCCAAAGTCAAACACTGCAAGTGGGCGACAGACTTAGTATTGATCACCTGAACCATAGTCATAAAGCAATCAAACAACGAAAGATCAAAGTCCACCCAAGCCACATGCCGATTCCACACCTCCGGAACCAAAAAGCACTTGAAAAACAAGTATGTGACATCTTTAACTTCCTCACCACAAACTCACTGCTTTCCATTCTTATAAAAACTCTTTGTTGTTAAAAAAAAAAGTTATTCATTCACATGGATAAAACAGCATTTTAAATTGTTAATTCTTCAAATTAACTCAAAAAAAACTCCCGTCGGAGATGCTTTAAGAGTTTAGTTTGTTGTCTATTCCGTCGCTAAAATAATGTGTGGTTAGTTAATACTGTTGAATGTCAACCAAACTGGTAAGTTGGGTTTAACAAGTTCACAAACCAATCTAGTTAGGGTTCGTTTTGAAAATTTCACAAACCAATCTACCATATATCTGACAAGGCAAAACGACAAGAAAACAATTTAAGCTGTAATTTGAAGAAAAATATTAGATGGTAGTGCAAAAATTCAAGCTAATATTTTTTATTGGATATCTTAGCAGCAGTGGCAGACTCGTAACAAAACATCAGGAGGTAACACTAATTTTAGCGATAGCATGCCAGCAGGCAAAGGCCAACGTGAATCACAAGAAGACTCGTATCATTTTGATATCAACTTGGAGCAGCAAAATGATCTGAACATATATATACATTTTAAGTTTTAACATAAATCTGTTGATACATAGCAAAAATTAAATCTAAACTATGAGAGTGGAGTGGACATAAGATGCTGAATAATAGCATTTATTAATTACTATAGACTTAAAACACTCACTCTTACTCTCAAGATCAAGAATACATTGATATACAAAACATAATCTCACATTTCTGACAAAATATTACTAATCTTACGAAGCTCTTTAAGAGCTGCCATGGCTGTCATCTGTCCTCTATCCACCAGTGCCTTCTTCGACATGTTATCTACTTCCTTTTCTTGCTGAAACACCGATTCAATCACCTGAAAAAACAACTTCTATTATTACAATCACAAATACACAAAATCATATTTGTTAAAATCTGTAAAACAATACCTGTAGATTTTCCACCATGGATTCCCCTAGATTCTTCAAAGAACACGTCTTGTTTTGCTCGCCGGATTCCGCTTTGCTCGTTACATCCATCCCGGAATCCGCCACCACTTCACTTTTCTGATCACCGCCACCGCCGCCGCCCTTCTCCGACGAACCTTCACCACCATTCTTCCCAAACTTCCAAAGCCACTGAAGTTTCCCCGAAGAAAGTATCCTATCTTTCAAATTCACCCCTGGTTTTCCGGCGGAATCTTTATTCTCCTCCACCTTCACCGGAGCATCTCCGGCGACAGCCTCCGGCGAATCAACTTCCGCGACAGTCTCAGGCGAATCAACTTCCAAGACAATCTCAGGCTCAGGCTCAGGCTCGGGCTCAATTTCATGGACTGATAAATTTGACGCCACACTACTCCGGTCAGTCTCATTTTCATGGTGCCTGTCACTGGCGGCACCACCCGGGCTTGCCACGTCGGAAAAAATCGAAGAGTTTTCTTCACTGCCACCATTTCCACAATTTTCGGGTTCCTCTTCTAACCCGAGCTGTCGGGCCAAGTCTTCGAGCAAACTCCGGCGAACATGGCGTCCAATCCGGGCCGGGCCTGGGCTCGGGCCCGGGGACATAATCGTCTTTTCACGATATCCTTTCGAAGAAGACGGGGCAGATTCCGTCCTCAACAACTGCAGTTTCGCTTTTTCCGGCCAATCTTTCGGTTTACTTTCAACTTTCTTCTCTTCTTCTTTATGCAAAACCCGCCATTTCTCCTCCCAGTAGCTATGACTCTTTCCACCGGTCGTTACTTTGCTCATCTTGTAACCACCGCTGCCGCCGCCGCCATCCACCGGAGGCGGCATCGATCTCATGGCAGCAATAGCCACCGGAACCAACGACTTCCCTTTCTTCACCAATTTCTCCAAATTCACATCTTTTGGAAAATTCAATAGTCTTTGAAGACACGAAGTGGCGGTTTCGGTGGAAAGAACAGACGATCGAATATAAAGAATCATCGAAACCGCAAGGGCGGCAATAAACGCCCCGCGGGTCGAATTCAAGACCCGGAAACTTGTTTCCGGGTCTTTTTCATTTTCCACCCCATCGAGTTTTTTATTATCAAATGAAAAAATTTCATCCCAAATGACCAAAAGGTCCTCGAGGTCAAATTCACGCCCGAATAAAACTCTTAACCACCGAAGCGCGAAATACTGCGGTTCAACCCCGAGCTCGATGAAATGAGTGTAAAGAGACGGATCAACCACCGCGAGGAGGTGGTACAAGGCGGAGGAGGCTTCAATTACTGGCGGCAATTGGGTGGACAATGGCGGCGGTGCGAAAAAGTTGGACATTGCAACCGCACCACCGTTACCGGACATTAACGCATCGAACATACAATAGGCGTCGTGTTCCATGAATTTTTGAGATAAGACAATTCCCAATTCGCCCTCGGCTCCATACGGGTCGCAAAAGGAGATGATTGTTTGGATTTTGGGGTCGAGGGTATTGATGGGTTCTTGATTTTCTTGGATTTCGTTATTGTTGTCTGTGTGTTGAGATGTTTGATTGTATGTTGAATCGGTGTTGTGGAATGATAGGCCATCGAAATTATCAGTGAAGTAATGTTTGTATAATTTTCGCACTGCAGATAGACGTTCTACATCCGCTTCTAGGACGTATAATAGTGGAGCCAAGAGTTCATGCATTCCTAAAAATAATTATATAATTTGAGAAATTAAACGAGTTAGTGTATGTGAAATGAACGCATTATATGGTTTCCTCTTATTATAGTATTGTAATTTGAAAAATCTACTCAATTATAGCATTATACTTTCAATCTTCTTTTCAGAACATTGTAGTATTGTACTACGAAAATTGTTTCTATTTTAATGTCATTGCTATAATTAGATAGATTTTACCAATAGGAAGAAACGAACCTAGGATGCTATAATAAACCAATAAATGTTTGTTTCTATTTTTTGCATTTATTAACCATTTTAAAGCGTTATATTTCAAGAATGCACTTTATCCATACAAAATCTAAACCACTTTTCTGTTTTCTCAACGAATTCTCCATCAAACCAATTTCATGAGTGATATTTTAATAAAAAGTGCAAGAAAATTTAAGCAAATTATATTGAAACAATACGTTACCTTGTCTATAGCCATGGTTCGGATGTCTAATACACCAAAGCAATAAAATTCGTCTCAATACCCCTTGGCATCCCGGAGTCTGAAAGTAGCTACCATGTTCAGGATACAATCGTGACAAATCTTGATCCACCATTTTCTCTATCTCGGCTTTTTGAAAAAAGCGACCCCACATGCTATCTGCGTAGACGTTATAAGTTCTTCATTTGTAAAGCATGTAATCGGGATGATGAATATAAACGATTTTAAGCAAGAAAATTACCTGGGTCTTGCGATAATGGATTGTCCATAACAAGATCGGGAATATTGCTTCCATCTTTAGGAAGGGGATCGATCAGGTGCCTCCTTCTTAAAGTAGCGTAGCTGGAAAACAAACGAATTAAAATGTTAACGCTTGATTACGAACGAAAAGGGGAAGTTTTTAGAGATTGTAAGTAGATTGGATCGAAGCAGCCATGTTTGATCAGATGTTGATATGAAGTTATGAATCATGAGTACTTGATTAGATGCAGAGATTGACAAACATATGAACACACTAATATATACCTTCTACGGGAATTTGCAGTAACACGACGAACTTCATCGACAGAGGAAGAAGAGGGCAAAACCCCCAAATCAGTACGCCACTGAACCCCTCTCAAATCCCAAAAGCGGCGATTATTATCCAAATCACCTCTCTCCGGTGACGACTCGGGGGTTTCTGAAGATTCCGGTAATGTATTGGACGTCGGCTCGGCTAGGGCCGCCGGTGACATAATTTAGATTGACCGAAAATTCAAAAAATGCTAAAAACCCAATCAAAATCCACAGCTCCAATTCGCTAAATTTTATGAAGAAATGATCTTTAGATGAGCAAAAACAAAGTATTGAGCTGCTAATTCGTCGTGTATGTATAAATATGTATAAAGAAATACAAGGATATTTATGTAAACAAGAACCAAATCAGGGAATCTGTGAATGGGGAGAAAGAAATTTGCGCAAAACTGCAGATTTACACAGGAATAGTTACTTCCCTGTAAGAATCGTTAGGGTTTGGGGAAATTTGTTTACAGAGTAAGATAGATCTTATCAAATACAAAATTCGAGAGGAAAACCACACCCAAACTTACGAAAGTTACAGACAGATCTTCAAGGAGTTATCCAACAACACAATTATGAGTTGTTTTGATTGGGTTACTGCAACAAAAAGGGGGGATTGATGTGGAAGAAAGCGTGAGCTGAATGAGACTTGAAGAAGAATGATTCGCATAATTTTGTGAAATTTGTTTGCTTTTTCCAAGAAAAACAAAAAGGTAGTGGGCAGTCTTTGTCAAAGCATGTAGAATTATGGTTTCGTCTACCACAAGATCAAACAAAACAAAATTGATAGCTTTTTATATAAATTAATGCTTTATTTGTTAATAATGTATATAATATTTTATTTTCAATTAAAGGAATATTATAATTACTTTCATTGATTTTTTTTATTTATTTAATTTTTTTTTGAAAGAGAAAGAGGTGATATAAGTTATGAATATATGAAATGATAATCAGAAGTTAAACACAAAATTAAAACGAATGTTTTACATTTTTTATTTAAATAAACTAGGTGTGAAATCCGTTTATGACACGGGTTGATTCAAAAATATTAAAATTTAAAATGTAAACATTTAATATTTTTTAAAATAAATATTCAAAATAAACAAAGAAAAAAAAGTATTTATTGCAATTTACTATCAGAATTATTACAATTAATATTTTACATATATAACTATAAATATTATATGACTTTTTAAATTTTAAAATTGAAAAAAAATTGGCATGTGGATATTATTTATTTCAAAAATACCACAAAATGACAGGTGTCAAAACTTATGAGAGATTGACATATGAAAAAAATAGATCTTCATTTATTAGAGTAGATTTGTATCACAATTTTGTTTCTTCAGGATACAACAAACGGTTCTTTAAGACCGACAAAATCAACAAGGTTCGGATAATTAAATATAAGATCATAACTGATATTGTATCTAATATCATTCATAAAATTACGAATCGTAACTGATAATTGAAAATTAATTTTCAGCTATACAATCATTCAACCTCTCAATTTTAATGACTAGTTTCCCATTTATCTATTCTTCGTTTTAAATGTAATTCTCCAAACTAATGTATCATAGACGGGAACACAAATATGCAAAGATAATTTCATTTTAGTTTTAGAGAATAACCGAAAATGAAAAAAACTTATTTTTCTAAAATGGTAAAACATTGTTTTCTACGATAATAAATTTATTTGACCTTTTTACTATATCCTCATGTCCCACAAAATATAATAATTTAATTAAGATATTGATAAATATATGTTATTAAAAATAACTATATAGTCGTCATTAATTTTCAAATAATAAATTTTATATTAAGTTGTACTAAAATATATTATAATTATTTTAAAAATTTTGGTACATAAATACATATAATAAATTTTATATTAAGTGTACTAAAATATATTATAATTATTTTAAAAATTTTGGTACATAAATACATATTATAACCATATGATATCAATAGTTTCTACTCACGAATGAAAATAAAATAAAATAAAATTTTTTATTTTAGTTATTTTTAACTATTATTATGATTATTCGGCTTAAATATACATCTTTTAAGATCTTGTTATCCCACTATATGTAGATCGTATATGAATAAATTTAAATATAATTTTTATTTAATAATATTTTTAACTATTGTTATAATTAATTAATTTAACAATCACTCACTATGGCAAAATTTAATATTAGTCATGATTGGTATTTCAAAAATTAATCATTTTAATAAGGTAATGTAATATATTTTTTTTCACTTTACGAGTTTATGTTATTTATAAGGAAATTTTTTACAAAAGTCACTAAATTTTATAAAAAATCGATTTTAACATTATGTTTTCTTGTCTAAAATTGGATATTTCTTTAAGGATTTGTTAATATATGACAACTTAAAAGGTTATTCAAGATGCCATATATTGACATGACATGATAAAATGATACTATTTGGTTACATATGGATATAAAAATTAAAAAAAATCTAAAATATAATAACTTTTCGACAGTTATCTGAAATATAGTATGATTTTAGTGATAGTTATCCAAAATATAACCACATTGTGACATTTGTAACACTCTTATGAATGATCATATTGATAATTAATTATTTTTTAAATTAAATGTGTTTTGTTTAACAACTTAAAAAATCAATAAATTTAATTTAGAAATTATTTATGTTTAATATAATTTAATGTGATGTTAAAGTAAATATTTGATTGGTACTATAAAAGTTTTATATCTTTGTGTCGGTCAATATGAGGATGTTAATCTCTCAGATAATATGGTCAACGGTTTCAATAATAGAATGGGTGATTGTCACCACTGGGCATATATACATATTAAACGTTTTTACAAATTGTGGGAATATGTAAAAACGACAACAAATTACCCTTAATGAAGAAAAAAAAAGTCTTATACATGGTGCTAGCAAATAATGGTTGATTTGTGATGACAATTAAGGGTGTGTAGCTAGATCAAAATTGAACTAAAAAGTGGATATACAACGACGATTTTAAACAAACATACTAATATAATATGTATACATAAATACATAATCATCCTTCTTATTATATGTGGAAATCTTGAAACCATCTTTATGAGCCTCATCTTTCATGTATGGTCCACGAGGACGGTGCCATCAACATTATTGACCTTTTGTTTTTTCAACGTCCATTTATATCAAGACTGAATGGAATACGTTCACCAATATTTATTTTTTCACGTGTTCAAGAATTAACTATAGGGAATAAGTATATTTATCTGTTTTTAAGACCATGTCATATGTTCTATAACACTAATAACCTATAGAATAATTGGTGATAACACTAACAACCTTGAGTTAGCTAGATTACTAGCTTTGGATGTTGTTTTATATTTAATCTTAGAGATCGATTTTTGACCAATTAATGCTGCTAAGTGAATTTTTCCTCATATATATTCGAATGTATCTAGCCAATAATATGTAATTGTTTTTTCAAAAGGGTATTCCCACTTAAATGATGTTCTCGCAGAAGGTAGTTCACCATTTTGATGAAGACATATAGACATTTTATCTTGTTTTTGCAAATAACGTTATATCACCCCTTTTTGATCATTTTTTATTGAAACCATCAAAATTAGAACTTGAGACGTTGATACAAAAAAATTGTCCTTGCCATATGAACCATAATATATCTACAATAAATATTATAATTCTGATAGAGTTCATCCTATTCATATATTTTATGAATGGGTGAAGTTGCCACATCATGTGAGTTAAGGTAGAGGAAACATACCCATCCCATTCTTTTATTTCCTTTTGAAGAGTCTATTCATCTTTTTTGTTTTGTATGTAAATTGAAAATTATAGAAATATACAAATATTGAAAGGTATACCTGAAAATAATTGGAATCCTATGTACATGTTGTCTTCTTTGAATGTAATCAAAATAGAAAAATTATTTATATTGACAAAATAACAATATAAACTATTTAATATAGATAAATCTTTATAAATGATATTCGTAGTTTCTATGAATATTAAGTTTAGTTTCTAATTTTTTTTTATTCCAATGATAGTTCTCGTGGTTTATTTTTTTCATATATAGTGTTTATGGCTAACACCGTTTATTTTTGTCGGTTAAATCAGAACATATATTCAAGTCATATGAGGAAAAAAATCATATTTTACAAACCAAGGGTCTATTCATGAAGTTTTAAATAAAATCTTTATAAATGGTCCACATGGTTTCCTAAAATATCGAGTTTAGTCCCTAATTAATTTGGTATTATAGAAAATCCACGCGACTTCAATTTATATCATTTATGTCGAAACACAAAGAAGTGACAAATACATAGATTACTGATTTACTCATAACAATATGCAATCAGCCATCTATACACAATTTATCATCTATGCGCCAAGAACACATGAACAGTCAAGATGCTAGCCATTAGCTACTTTTTCAGTCCTTTATGTATTTATATTAATGGCATGTCCGTGTTAGGTATAGTTAATTGTACTGTTGTACCTTGTATTATTTCATCTTAAGTTAGAGCCCATTCCTCTAATAATAATTGGACATATCACTGTTTGTTTGCTTATCAAAGGCATTTTGTATCGTCTTGTAATCCACATACTTTTTATTGATATGCGATATATCATATCTCCATTTCCATGTTTATCATGCTTTACTCTTGTTCATATTGATATTGTTTACATTGATGTTATTTGCTTGTTCTATATTCCTTTTGTCTTGATTGTTGGACCTTCATTTGATCCTAACAAGTTACCCTAATGTCGCCATCATCTTCATCGATGGAGGCTCGAACCTGCTAGAGGTTTGCTAGAGTCTCGGAATTAGAAAGATGAAGAAGATCGTAATAGAATCTTAGAATCGTAGAGGCGGAACCCTAAAAAGAGTCAGACGATCGGAGTTCAGAACAAAACATCGTTGGAACCTCAAATCTACAATTAAAAAACAAAACAAAAAATATTACCCCTACCCTACCCCACCCACCCATCCCTATCTTTTTTACAATGCTTGTCTTCAAGAGACCACACTAGTCAACATCGCCACCACCAGAACTCTGGTGCCACCAGACCTCCGCCACCATCAAACCTCCATCGTCAGAGCACTTGCCACTCACACATCTCTCTCCCTCTTTCACTTCAGTTTTTATGGTGACGCTTTAATTTCTTTCATCAGAGAGTTCTTAAAAAAGTTATGTTTATGATTTACTTTTTATAGGTCCATCATTGTGGTGATTGCTGACTACCCAATAATATACACTACATTTGAGTTTATGAACTTCTTCATTTGGTTAATTTAAACTTCTATAATTGATATTTTTCAATAAGTATATATTGAGGGTAGTTTGGCCTTTTACTAAAAAATAAAGAACATAATTACATTTATTAAATTGTAGGCATCCCCCTAAGAACATAGAGATATGTTGTAAGCATCCCCCAAACAATGTTCTAATGGAATTCCGTTATGTAGTGGCAACCATGGAATGGAATCTTGGATTTCAGTATTGACATTTTTGGCTCTAAAATGTTTATTCTTTGTGATTATGGTCCCATTTTGAATTTTTATAATGTGGTCTTTTTGTTACAAGTAAAATTAGTGTTTATTGTTATGAACATGGATTATTTTTGTAATTTTTGTTCCTCGTTTTACTTGGAATTCTTTTGATTTCAATGTTGGTACCTGATTGCTACTGATGTAATGACTACCTGCAACTA